AAAAAAAAAAAAAAAAAAAAAAAAAAAAAAAAAAAATGTTAGGCCTTAGGCAAACAAAGCATTTTTTTTTTTTTTTTTTTTTGGCATATTCCTAGTCTATATCCCATGAAATTACTATCATGGGCCTTGGTTGACACTTAGAAAAAGTAATTCAATCTAAGAAAAGCTCGATGTATTGCAATAGATTATCGTTACAAGAAAATTATTTTAAGGTGGTTTTGAAAAGTCTAAATCTGTCGAACGCTTCAATCAATCAACTATCAATCCCCCGAGAGTAAATATTTCAATATGCACAGGATTTCTACGACGACTTGCGCTGCCTTCGCTTTACCTAATTTCTATGTAAACTGTTGAGTCTTATTAGATTAGATCAATCCATGACCCTCACACTTAAGAATCGCAGCATATGGACGGGCAAATACTAGGAAATCAAAATAAGTAAATTAATTTCAATAATAGTAAATAGTTATATGTTTGCCTAATAATTGTGTTCGTCCAATACAATGGTTGCTTATCTAAGATTATGTGTGTGCGTATCTGATAAGTGGAGCTGACCAATGGCAAAGGCCGATGACGTTCCTGAACCTTATCAACATCGCGCCTAAGAGCAGCGCTACCTACATTAAGTGGACAACTAAATGATTTTTAACTGTCAGATACATTTCACTAAAAAACAAAAGGGTGATAAGTATTTAAAATAAACACTTGATAGATATACACTGGACTGAAGCTAAAAATAATATACCAAAATGATAGACAGGACACAAGGCCTTCACTGCAAATATATAAAAAAAAATGATCAGGAAATCAACGAAATGTCTTAAAAATTTGCACAGAGTTCTTTGGGTTTGTGTAAATATAATTTATGATTTCTATTTGCGTTCTCGGGAACCACAATGATTTCAAAGATTAGAGTGACGCGATTGGGGGATCGTCAGCAACTGCTTAATTGTTTCATGGGAAGTGTTTTTCCCGCCGCCGGAGCTGTGGCAGCCGATGATAAGAGTCTCAGCTGGTATTGATAAGGCGTAATAGCTTAAGTGATAGAGCCAAATCTAAGGTAATATCTTGGCCATAACATGACGCCGTATCTCTGGAGTAGCAGCACAACAACACTTGAGCAGCGCACCTATAAATGCTGATGTCGCTTGGCCCATTACCTCAATAACGAATCCGACGTTCATAGCAAACGAATCAAAAATCGTGTTAGCCAT